AAAAAAAGTTTGAAAATTAATAGCCTATTAAGTCTAAATATTTAATTATTTGGTGCTGTGATGAACATCATAGCAAATACACAAATCTGAATGGTTGTTTAAATCATTTAAACACCTTTCACATACAGAAAGTAGTGCAGCTGCTTTGTTTACAGGGTTTCCGGGGTAACAGCTGCATTTAAATTTATTATTATTATTATTATTATTTCTGCAGTTTAGCGCCATCTGCTGTCAGAGAGTGAAAGTGTGCTTTCATCCAGAGCATCCCTCACATGTTCCGCCATGTGCTTCTCGTCCGCGCTTGTTTACATCAGAGTGCGCATGCGTCTTTCACGCAGCATACAGCAGTGTTGTGCATTTTGACCAGTTAATGGGAAAAGTATTCTTAAAATGCATTCAAAATTCTGAATAATTTGTAATATATAATTATTCACGGTATTTAGAAGTGCCCACGATAACAATATCGTGCATATTCATTACCGTGATATATCGCATTACCGAATACCGGCACAAGTCTACTTGAAAGCAATCTGACCCAGTGGACTAAAGAGTCCATTCATAATTCATAATAGGTAATGCATTACGTTATTCGGTGGGTAAGCACCTTACTTATCAGTTGAAAATCAAAAAGCACCTCTTCATTTTAAAATGTCATTGCTCTTCTACGAAACAGGTGCATTGCAAGAATGCTGTCCCGATGAAGCCTTGATTGAACCAAGGCTTATATGCATTTGTGTATGTGTGTGTGTGTAGCAAGGAGCTGGATTGCAGAGCTAACTTGTCAGCCCATCTTGATGCATAACCATAATCAGTGGAATCCCAGAATGTAAACAGGTGCACTCTGACCAGTTTTACTCACGTGACTTGCACATTTTGGTACTAAGGAGAAAATGCAACAAACAACAAACAAAGGGAAAAAATACAGGTCTACAGATCTGTTAGAAAAAAAAACTAAATTAATAATTGACATCTATAGCTTATCAGTCATAACACCGCAATGTGTTGGAGCACATGCACTTACTGCCAAGCCACAACTGATTTCGATTTGGAAATTTCTTATTTGCTTACTGATTTATACTTTGAGAGTTCACCCAACCATTTGGAACAACCATTTGGTTTACTTATCTGGAAAACATGTCTGCGACCTACTGTCACAATGTTTAATTTTTAAATTAGTAATTGTTTAACAAGGCAATAGAAAAAGTCCTACACACTGCTATTAATTCCATAAGTATTCTGCAAGCTACAGTAGTCTGCAGGACTTATTCTATTGTTTATTTTCTACGCTATAGTCTAGTCTGCGTCCAACACACCTGCCTGCAACCATCCAGGTGTGTAATAGATTTGTTTGCGTTTTCCTGAAAGAGAAAATCCCCAACGCACTCCAAGTGAACCATATTACAGCATTCCCAGCACAACTCGCAAGAAACTTTCCATCTTCCTCCTCATAGTCTCTGACCTCAATCCTGTATTCTTTAGGGTCTTTTCTTCTCCACATGCCTCATCTATCCGTGCTGTCATTCTCTTTCAACCCCCACCCCCTCTTTCTGCCAGAGATATGCATGGAATGTCAGCTCCTTAGGCTGGATCTCGATTCTCATCAGGAAGACAGTGACATTCTCAATATCTCAGCCGCACTTGTGATTCTAATTGCACATAATAGAGCATTATAGATGTATCTGTGTCTGATCTTGTGGTGCCAGAGAAACACTGACAGAAGAACATTCCTCCAGGTAGTTTCGACAGAAGCATTAACCCGTCTGTCTCTCTCCTGACAGCCTCCATTCCGTTCTTCGCCTGTGAGCTCAAAGCGGTGATTCCGTACAAGAGGGGCTTCTTCTGCGGGGACACCAGCATCACATATCCTTACATAGAAAGTGAGGCCATTCCTGACAGCATGCTTACAGCCGGGGGCATCATAATCACAGGACTTACGGTGAGAACACACACATAAACTGAAATATCACTTGTTGAAAGACCACAAAGAGATAGCTCACCCAAGAGTGTAAACTCTGTCTTCATTTACTCAACCTCATGTCAGAAAAAAGTACAAAAGATTTTCAAGAATTGTTCTTTTCCATTGAATTGCAAAGTCTTTTAAGTATCAAAATGGGTGCAAAATCAACATTAAAGTATTAAAGTAACTAAATCTTTCAGAAGCCTTAAGAATTGCAATTGCGCTTCAGGCGACCCAAGATCAAATTGCAGTTCATGGTTCTTTACCAGTCCAGTCTCCCTCTTTCTCCCACTTCGCTTCCTGACCTCTCTCCAACTGTACTATCTGAATAAATGCAAAAAAAGTTGTTAAAGGCTCAGACACACAAGACCAACTTGAAAGAACTAGTGGTAATGAAAGCCTACTATGTTGTTGCGTCGTGTTGCCTGCATATAAGCCAACAATTTGCGCTTGAACACAGTACATAGACTACAGCCAGTGGCCAAACTGCATGTATGTTCTCTAAATAACTAACTAACTAAATAAATAAATAACTTTCCATACCAGCAGGTGGAAGTAGTCTGTATTCATCATTCAAAAAGAGATAGAACTGCAGATAACATCACAAATGAGATAAACATGAACAACTAGCCTTCTGTGTGTTCCCTCAACTTCATTGTTTGCTTGCCTTTGACACTTCTTGTGCACTTGTTCGTTAAATTGAACAGTCAATCAGAGTGATCTTTCTCACCAACTGCCTAGAACCAATTCAACATGCTCAGTCGTCTAAAAATTCCCCAATGAGGTTCCGACTAGTGCCTATAGTACAGAACACACTACAAAAACTAGTCCAACATATAATAATAATAATAATAATAAACATTTATTTGTATAGCACTTTTCATCAGACAACATAGTCTCAACGATGGCCGACTTGGTTCATCATGGAGCCAAGAGCCATTGGACTCAAGAACCAGTCCAATTTGTGAATGTATAATTTACATTGGTCTTGTCAACTTCATCAACTGATCAATTTATTCATTTAGGGTTTTCTCATGAACTCTTATGAAGAAACTAAGGAAAGCTAGGTTGGATGTCAAGATTCAGTGGACAATTACTTAATTTTTCTGTTTCCCACACAAAACTATCTGAAGATTTGAAATATAATGTGTGTAAATAACTATTTCTATGGTGTTTTATGTAATCCTTTCAAGCTATCTTTTATGTGTAATTGCATGGAAAGAGTTACCAACACATTTAAATTGACCTTTGATGTTCCCTGAAAGGAAGAAAGTCGAATGGATTTAAAACAACATGAGGGTGAGTGGTAGAGCCCGACCGATATGGGTTTTTTTGGGCCGATACCGATACCGATATTAGGGAGTAAAAAAGGCCGATATCAATATATCGGCCAATATTCTTTGTGTATATTATAGTACAATACCAATCAAAATTTTGGACACTTTCCCATTCGTGTGTCCAAATATTTGACTAAACTTTATTATCCAAAGAACAGTAAAGTTGAAATTTATTCAACTTTAATTCAATTCCATTCCAATTTCACTTCGGAACATTCATTCACGGATTTGCGCTACTGTCTTCACACACAGACTAAACTTACTAGAGAAGTGTGAAGTGTGACATAATATACCTCTGTAAATAAATACAATATAAATTCACGTCTCGCGCACTTTAATGCAATTTGAATGTAACGTGTACGTTCCCTTGGAACTGGAATCATGGCGGAATTTCATCTGAAGTCCACTTCACAGGGCACTTACGGTCGCATAAGACCATGCTTGAATGCTGCTGCCTGAACAAGAGACCTCCTTACTGAAGTGAAAGTGTTGACTGGTGTCACTATCTCGCGAACGCCCCGGCGGATCTCCACCAAATTCGGGGGATCCCTTCA